AGACGTTTCTTTCTAGTAGTGAATAGATTTTTTTTTAGAGAATAATAAGATCATTTGTATAAAATGATGATCTGATTTTTTTTTTTACGAAAAAAGAAATTCAAAAGATTTATCCGGAAAGTGTAAAAAGAAATGAAGCTATTCACATTTATGTATATTAATCAAATCAAAAAAATAACGAAGTTAACGATAAGATTTTAAGCTCATAAGTCCTTTGTATCAATACAAGTTGGAAGTATAGCAGCCCTTTCAAATCACCGAAGATAAGATCAGGTGTCGTGTAAGGATTAAGCATCCCCTGTTAATCGGACAACCTTGCTTATTGCACTTGTCATTACTTGGAAAGCAGAAAAATTTATTAACAGTGGGACGGACAACTTCGGAATGGACATTTTTCCGAACTTGCGCACCCTTTTCCTTTAAAGCCATCAACATAGGGTTTTTTTTATATGGTGGGGTTTTTATAATCAAATTGATTTATGAAAAAAAAAATTCAACATTTTCTGCTAGATTTTGAGATATTTGAGTTCAAAAAAAAAAATCCCATGGGGAAACATGAACTTAAAAATACCCCACAAAAAACCCCACAAAAACCCCATGGGTTTTTTTTTTCACCCCATGGGGTTAAAAAACCCATATAATCTTTCGTGGGGTTTTTTAACCCACGAATCAATAAAAATAAAATGTGGGGTTTATTATCCCATATTTTTTTATGTGGGGTTAAAAACCCCACATATTTTCTTTTAAAGCTTGTAACTATAGAACTAGAATGATGAAATAAATAATGTTTGTAGTTGCAAAATAAATCAAGTACATGTTTTTTATCAATTTAATTTGTAAAAAAAATTAATTTTTTTTTTTAATTCATTGGTACATATTTATGACAATTAGCCTAATTATAAGGCATAAGATGGGAATGGTATAATTTTTTTTTTACTACAGCAACCCTTTAGTTACAAAGTAAACTAATAAGGATTAAATGTATAAAAATAAATCTTAGAATCCACATGTTCCAAGCGGGAGAAAGAAACAAATATATAAAACAAGACACTGGAGGCGGAACCGGCAATTTTATCAAGAAAACAATGTTTATAATGCCATGACTTTGTTTACGCTAGCGTAGCTCAAATGTTATTGTTTTCACTGTTTTACTGATAAAACTGCCGATTCCTCAGTCCTGTGACCTGTTTTCAATATTAAACACGGTTGATCGTGATTCACATAGGCCTAGTTGTTCTACTCACATGTAGTAAGTTTAAGTCTAAGCTCTGCTGTTTGTAGTGTAATGGACTTGATTCAAACAAAGACAAAAACTTCTCTACTTCTCAAAGAATGTTTTTGAAATTGATTGAAAGAAACCAAATCAAATCATAACAAGTAGTGATTCGTGATGACAATTCCTCATTTGGCACCCTTGTCACCTACCATTTTGTCTTTCTCTATGTATAAGTCATACTTTAACAAACATGTGGGCGACTCTGACAAAAAGTGTAAAATTCAAAATAATTTTTCCGGAATTTTTTTTCCGTTTTTGACTGACAGAAGTTATGCATATATTATCATTATAGATAGTTATGCCCACTGGGCCCTGATTTGTTAATAAATCCTTTTATATTTTATTCTAAATAATTGTTAAACTAGAAAAACTTTATTTAAAGTGATTTTAAAAATAATAAAAACAGTTTTCTTTACTCTCTTCCTTTTATGATAAAAGATTTTAATAAATTGATACATTCAGTGAAAAAAAAAAGCTGGATAAGTGTTATAATTGCATATAACATGCAATCAGGACCAATTATTACATGATTATATGTCTGAATGATTATTACAATAATCATGATACAGTACCGATTTAAAAAAAATGTGGTAATACTTTCTTATACTAAGTATCTATTATCATTATTAACTTTTAAAGCAAAAGAGGCCCATGGACCGCATTGCTCACCATAGTACTTAGGCTTCGAATTCAGTATTGAAAATTTTGGCCCCAATCCACCACTTTGGGAGCATGATTGAAATAAGATAATTGTTGATGCTATGATATATCTTCGAATAACTGGTTTAAGAACATTTCTTAACCTTATTCCCTCCGTGTTTTAAATTGTGGCCCAACAATACCCCTGGGGAACTGAAAGAGGCACATATGACAATATACAAACTACAAACAATTGGATAAATAAGAACAATTGTTCAATTTTTAATTTTTAATGATTTAAATATAAAAACAAAGCCACAACAATGAATAAAATTTACTGAAAGCCACAACAATTAATGCAAAGTCAACCGATTGTCACTGTCATGTGGTCTTTCTACATCACTTCATTCTTTTGCACACCGGGGTCTAAAATCTCACGTTGTTCGTTGTGAAGATCACTCCGTCCTGGAACTGGACAGTATATCCTGCATAGGAAGAAAAATTAAGAATAAGAAATCTGAATTGTTTTTATAAATTTGTTCAAAATTAATAAATTGCATGAATCTCAAAATAATAGTATAAACTTTTATTCAGCAGGTTCACTAAGTAATTAATTGATGATTTAGACCATTGCTTTTCAAAAGTAAAAATGGCTTATTTATTCATCTGTTTTATTTGACAAAAACCTGGACTCATCAACTCATTTTTCCCCATGATGTTCTGGATTTAATGAATAATAAATTACCTTCCGTGGTTCTTCCTCTGATCTTCCCCTTGTAGAAATGCCCATCTTCCCACATGGCACGTATCTTTTCACCTGCTTCCTGTAAAATCAGTAATGTACTGTACCATTGCCATACAAACATTCCATTTAGGTATTCGATGTATAACGAAGGGATTTTAAATAATTTTAAACTAGTTAAAAACGTACTGCTAGATAACGATAAAAGTGACATGAACCAAATCTAAGACTGATAACATGTAAGGAGACCGTCATTTTACACATTAAAAGTTTTCAGTTATCTGCCCTTGAGCAAAAGAAGAATTTTTTGATTTCTCAAAATTTGTGTGGTAAATAATTCATTTTATTTAATATTTACACAATTTCATGATAAAAAGTATAACTTACAAATATGTATGGCTTTACTTCTCTCGGCTCCACCGTTTTTTGATTTCTCAAAATTTGTGTGGTAAATAATTCATTTTATTTAATATTTACACAATTTCATGATAAAAAGTATAACTTACAAATATGTATGGCTTTACTTCTCTCGGCTCCACCAATTTGTCATAGCTGCTGCTATAGCCCATGTAGTGTACCTTGTACATACGCCCTTCCGTGTTAATTATCTTTGCTTTGAACCTGTAAAAAAATTTTGCATTAAAAAAAGTATTGGTAAAGATGAAGATCTTCATCTATCAAAATTAAAACATCCTGTTCTTTATTCCCTGTTAAAGTCAACTTTAACTTTCAACTTAAAAAAAAAAGATGTGACTTTTAACATGTTTACAGTTATAATTATATACAGATAATTTTCATTTTTGAATTGGACTTGTAAATGATACTTTAATTCAAAAGTGTCCAGATGAGGCTTTTTCATAAAAACGCATGATCTTAAATGAATGAAATATTTATTTTATGGGTAGAACATATGACTGGTTATGAAAATAATTTTATTCTGTATTCCATAAAATATAAAACAATAATTGTGTTAAAGTATTCCATGTAGAATTTTTAATTGTTTTAAACAAGATAAAAAAAACACATTGCTAGATGAAAGTGACACTAACCACAAATTCACAAGACTGATGACAGATGAAAAGCTAATTTTCGCAACTTGTAAAAATTTTTTGGAGTTAAATGTCCTTGATGAATTTTTGATATACTTTATTTCATATTTAAAAGTAATGTAAATGCCATATAAATTTCTTGGTGAAAATACGCATGAACTCAACTGTAATTACTATATCTTAATTAGTCATGCACTTCTCGTATAAGTCATTGTAAAATTGACTGCAAATAAGTGCAAATAATTGGACAATAATTAAAATTTTGTAAATTCATTTTGCGTAGTACCATATTTTCTTAACATCTTTAAAGTGCTATCATGATTAACCTGCATGAAAAAGGGTTCAGACATTTATTAAAAAGAGAGGATACCTAGGATGTAAAGGACACTTTAGAGAAACAAAATGATATAAATGATACCATACCATTCATCCTCTGGACCATCTTTTGCCAATACGCAATCCCCCAACTGGAAGCATTCCTACAATGTTAAATAATACACTAATTTATGGATCTGATATAAAATAAAAATAAAATGTCATGAGGATGTACTGATCTTTTTAATATTTACATTATTTATGAATTAAATATATGTTAAAAATCCCTCAAATCTTGATAAATATTTCATGACAAAAAGCTAATGGGCCACATCGCTCACCTGAGCACCGTGGCTAGGAAAAAAGCAAAAATCAATCCAGTTGTGAAAAGTTTATATGCATGTGGTCCAAACTTGCCCTTAAAAAAATGGGGGTTGGGGTGATTTTAAATACTTGGAATCTACATTTCTTTGACTTACTGTGGTTGTTTCAAAGAAGTCTGAACTTTCATTTTGGTCCCACCCTACCCCTTTTGGTCATGATTTGAACAAACTTGAATCTACACTACCTGGCGATACTTCCATATATATATGACCAGTCATGACTTTCTTGTTCTTGAGAAGAAAATTTTAAAGATTTTCCCTACATATTTTTATGTAAAACTTTGATTGTCCATTGTGGCCCAACCCTATCCCCCGTGGGTCATGATTTGAATAAACTTGAATATAAACCACCTGAGGATGCTTCCATTTAAATATCACCAGTCATGGCTTTGTTGTTACAAGAACCACAGAATCCTGCCACCAAAATTTCTTAATTATCCCCTTAAAAGAGGACTGGGCCCTTCATTCGAACAAACTTGAATCCCCTTAACTCAAGGATACTTAGTGAGAAAATGTTTTGAAATTGGCCTACTGGTTCTCAAGAAGAAGTCAAACAGACAAACAGTTAGACATATGGACTATGTACAGACAAAATGTGATCAGAAAAGCTCAGGTGAGCTTAAAATTAATTAGATCAGGAACTATAAAATAAAATGGCACAAATGTGAAAGTAGGCTGGTTATAGTTAATCTCAATCATCTTACCGTTTGTTCTGTCTCTTTCTCTTGTTCAGTCTCTGGTGTAATCTATAAAACAATGAATTATGAAAAATTTTTCAAAAAATTCAATTTTGATAGGTAATACGTACTGAAAATCCCATACAACAGATCAATATTTTTATATTATTTAAAAAATGAAAACCTACCTCATTCTCTTTTTCTACGCTGCACACAAAGTACTGCTGAAAGAACAAAAGAACATACAGGTAAGCCTACTACGTGTAATTTAAAGTAAATAAAACACTTGTTTACATTTGGGCTGAAACTTTTCTTTTAAATTTCTGTGTAAGTTTCATTCCCATTTTCACCCCATATTGTGACTAAATTCCATCTCAAGGGCAACTTTTGTCCAACAAAATTGATATGCTTCTATGTCAATATGAATCACATAACCTTGCTGTTTTGGAGAAGAATTTGTTAAAATTTTAGTTTTAACCTCCAAGAAAATGAAAATGAAATTGAAGAGCTTAGTAATTTTTTGCACATGAATAATTGCTACTTAAAAGTAGATTTTTAAATTCCAACACGTCCTCATCATTTTTTTACCCCAGAGGTTCATGAGAAAAGCCCTCATATGAGGACCCATTCCTTTTTTTTTTAAATTACCTCCCCTTGAATAATGAATTTTGAATTAGGTAATATAAATTCCCTCTCCCAAAGCATGAATTGAGACATGTTAGCTCGATATTGGTCTTATGGATTTGGGGAAGTTCATAAATATAAAAACATTACATACAGATAGACCATTGGTGATCTGAAAAGCTCATTTGAACTATGCTTCAAAATCCATGTAGTTAAAAAAAAATTTAGAATCAAAACTTGCATGAAGTTTACCTCTTCATCTTCTGCCTTTTGTTCCAACCCCTGGATCTTCTCTAGGGTGATCAACAAGTTTTGCTATGAAAAGAAAAAATGAAAAAATAAGTCAACCAGTAGGATAGTATTTGCATGTACGTCAATTAATCTAAAACAGCAAATTTCTTTTTGAGGAGAAGTTGTACACCAGATTTATGTGTTTATAGATGCCAAGGAAGTTTAACTTACTATCAAGAACTTTAATGATTAAATTGAAGATCTTAAGTAAGAAAAAAAGGACATTTATGCTAACTGTATCATAAAGTCTTACCTCTGTTGCCGAAGTTGGCGAAGCCTCCTACAAGAGCAAAAATAGAATGGTAACATAAAATGTGTTTCTGAGTACTTTCTAATGCACATTAAAAAAATATGTTTAACATAGATTTGTATTCTTATTATTTAAATTTTCCATGAAAGTAACAATTTAACTCCCGTCTAGACATCTGACACATACAAAAATTTTTTTTTTTATATGCTTTATGAAAAAAGTAGTATTTTTTTATACATATATGTTCAACAGTCATAAACTGTCAATAAATATACTGTTTACCTTCTCTTTAGCACCATCGGCCTTTCCGTTGCATGCCTGAGCTGGAAGTCTGAAATAATAAAATATTTCCATTAATACCCATTCTTTAAAGTACTACTGAAACTCAAATTTTATGATTTTTTTTAATGTTTTTTTTTCAAATATTTTCTTAGGCTTCAGATTTGTCTAGTATTTGTGCAGGATAGTTTTGTACTTTTTTTACGTTCAAAAATACCTAGAATAGGTGAAGGTTGGCTGCTCCATGTGAAATGAATCCGAAGAATCATCCAACTCGTCAGCCTATAAAGAAGAGAACTTGATTATATACATATTTACTCAGACACATTCTGTTATCTTACGAGTTACAACTGCTTTAAACTGATTTTAAACTGTTAATAAATAATATGGAAAACCAAGGAAGTGTATGTAATGTATCAATGTACCCTATCTCGAGCCTCCTCCTCCTCCTCCTGTATGCTCCTGCCAAGGTACCTGTTAAGAAATAAAAAAACATGGCTCAGTATTCATTTTTTTTATGTAATCAATTTCAAAACAATTATTTATTGGATTAGACTGCAAGATTTTAAGAGCCCTTACCGTGCATATTTCACTGACGGAACTTCCAGGATTTCCCTTTCCTTTGGTTGGTGGTGAACCTATTTGTAGAAAATAATTATGTATGAATGAAAATGTGAGCAATGGTTTGGCCAGAAAATGGAAATGCTTTACTTTTAAGTATGTACTTTTCATAAAATCTTCCCAAAAATAAATTATTTTATCTTAAATAACACCATAATTGATCTTTACCCATTATTATGCGATGATTTTTGTTGAATGTCATACTTCAGTTGTGGATAATATATTTAATTCATATCTTACCTCTGCTTCTTCGTATAATTCCTCTTCATCACTTTGGTAAGCCTGCAATGTAAGATTACTTTTAACTTTAAGGCTATTAATCAAAAAAGAAAGTTTTCTCTTCCTATTCTGTTCTTTACAGGCTGCTTTTTAATAGTGTAATTTTTTAAAATTATATTTGAGAAATGTATTTTATTGCTTTTTTATCCTTTGTGGTAATTTGTAACAACACAATCTTGACCAAAAATAAACAACTGTAAATGATTTAATGAGTATACTCAAAATTAAATCTATTCTACTTATATGTTTATCAAAACATGCAGACAGGATATGTAATGATCATTACTCACAAACACATCCTCTTGCTGGCTGTTCACATCCTGGTTCTTCAAAAAATAAAAAGAGAACATTAATAGAAAAATGCTTGCAAGGATTTCAGTTAAAATATGAACTTCTGAAGCCATTTGATTATACCATATCTTTTCATATGATAATGTTTTCTATTTTGAACAAATAAATTAATTTATCATGTTTATCTTTAAATTGTGCCATAATTTACATACCTCTTCACTTTGGGTCAAGGCTTTTTTGAGCTTGCGGTTTTCCAACAACAGAGCTTGCTTCTCTTTGATGAGCCGGATGTTGTTCCTTCTCAGCTCTGTTGCGGTGGTACTGTGGTCCTAAAAAAAAAGAATAATTCATAGAATATTGTTTCTTCTCTCAGTTATAAAATATTGATGAAAATAAAATTATTCTGATAAATGTAGCTGTGCATTTCACATTTTAATAAGATTATTTTTAAATAGATAAAGGTACCCTGTTTGCTTTCCTGTCTTTCCTGACTGCCGGCAGATCATTCTCGTTCTGTAGCTCCTGAAAAAGTAGAAGATTCAATTGTTTAAAGATTTTTAACTTGATTGATTCTTTTATAAAATTCAAAACACAAGATATTGACCTCAAAATTAGCAGTTTGATATTTAAGTATTGTTGGCATTTTATTTATAATGTACCCAAGATCACCTACTCATTTTTTTTTTAATATTTGTCGTTTTAATGGTTCAGAAGAAAAAAAATCCAAAATGAATACAAAATAGTTCAGAAAGCAATTCGTAAATGAACACTGAAATTTTTACCTTTGCATTTTTCAACTCCTCGTTGAACTCCTTCTTGGAAAGTTTCTTGGTAAAGAAGGCACCAAGGAGCTTGTAGATGGTGTCCTCCTCTCTCAGTCCAGGGAGCTGGGCAAATAGCATTCGGTTGACTTTGCAGTTGGTTTGCTGCTTCAACCCCCATCTTCCATACAAGTCCATTATCTCCACCGACAGGGCATAACACCTAGGACTGAGGCAGGCAACACTGATATGTTCCTTAAAGGAACCCCCGAACCGACCCTGTGTTTAAACCAAAATAAAATTACTATTATTTCTGAATTAAAAGCTTAGTTGCAAACAAATTAATGAGCACATGATAATTGATGAATCGATAGATTGGGGCGTATATTGTTTTTTTTCCATCTTTTCTGGTTGTCTGTCTGTTTAACTGTTTGTCTTTCTGTCTGTCTATTGTCAGCTTTAACCTCTTTTGGACCGTGAGAGATAGAAAATTTATATTTGGTATGCATTACTCCACTAATTAAGCTTGTTCATATGACACCAAGGTCCATGACCTTGTAACCTTGACTGTGACCTATATGCTAAAAATAGGTTTTTGGAACTCTGCTGCCCTCGCGCCCACAGTGTTTCACAAAGACGTCTTGTTTAAACATAGGTTTAGATTTCTCAACAGCCCTTGTCTGGAAGATTTCCTTCCAAATATAAGATTTAAACATGAGGCCCATTGGCCACAATGCTCACCTGAGCAGATTGGATAGAAAAAGACCACTCAAATCAGTTCATTTAATATTGAAAAGTAGGGTTATAATTTAAATTACCTGAGAGTGCTTCAGTATCAATAACATTGGCTTTGCTGTTCTTGAAGAGAATATTTTTTCCTATATATTCCTTTGTAAAATTTCATCTCCATTGTCGTCCCTCCCTACCCCTTGAAATCAAGATTTGAACAATGATTTTTCACTACCTAAAGATGCTTAACTTAATAAAACTTTTCTGTTTTATAGATGAGGATTTTTTCCTATTTTTTCCTATAAAAAAAAGCTTTGATTGGTTATCCCCCCCCCCCCCTCCACGGACCATGATTTGAAAAACTAGATTTTAAAGTATCCGAGGATGCTTCCTCATAAATATGGCCAATCATGGCTTTGCTGTTCTCAATTTTTCCTATATATTCCTATGAAAAACTTTGATTTCCTGTTGTGGCCGACCTACCCCTGTGGGTCACGATTAGAACAAAATTGATTCTACACTACTCGAGAATGCTTTCATGTAAGTTTTATCTTTCCTGAACCAGTGGTTCTATAGAACAAGATTTTTCCTATATATTCCCGTGTCAAACTTTTGATTTTCTATTTTGGTCCCACCCTAACCCCAGGGGTCATGATTTGAATAAATCTGATTTTACATTAACTGAGGATGCTTCCACATAAGTGTTTTTCACTTATTATTGATTATCCCCCTTGAAAGAGGGTGTGGCCCTTCATTTTAACAAACTTGAATCCTCTTCACCCAATAATACTTCGTGGCAAGTTTAATTGAATTTGGCCCATTGGTTCTTGAGAAGAAGTTGAAAAAGTTTACAGCCAGACAGACAGATGATGGACAAATGTGATCAGATAAGCGCACTGCAGGCTCAAATGAGCTAAAATACAGTGACAAACCCGGTTCTGGGCAAGTCAATACTATAAGATATGCAACATACCTCAAAGTTCAGTTCTCTTTCTGCTTGTCTTCGCCACTCCCTGTTGCTTGGGTCCAACATCTCCGTCACTCCAACTCGATCCACATCAGGATGCAGCTGTCGCATCACCTGTATTAAAAAATAAGGTTTAGGTGAGAATTTTAAAGCAAACTGTGATAAATGTGAAAATATTTATTTTATAATAAATTCTTAAATAGCTTAATTTATCATTTATGAAATCAATTCAATGAATAAAATATACATTACACTGCTTTAAACTATTATCATCAGTTAACTCATGCCGGCCCATAAAAAGTATTTCCAAAATAAAGATAAGTGCATGTGTGCATTTAGTGAACGAATTGAAAGAAATTCAATGAAAACTAATAAGGTCTATCTATCTAAAAATTTTCATTAAAAATACACTGAGAAATGTAAATTAAATGGAATATCTCTTAAAATACTGCAGTATTGAAGAGAATTTTTCTGCAAATAGTTCAAAAAACATTACCAATACATATAATATTACCTGTACTTCTTCTCTGAATGACAAGCTGTGGACTACTTTTCTTTTCTTTGCTTTTGGCATTGACATGGCAACCACTGTAAATATGTTTGATTATATATGTAATGTCAGGCTATCAACTTCTTGCCATACAATGAATTAAAACCTTTGTTCTAGGTAATATATATAACATAGGGCTTTAACTGTGAGTTCAGTAATATAGATCAATCATTTTATCAAGTGCAAATAATCTGTGAGTGTATTTCAGAAGCAATGCTAGTCCCCTTATTTGTAATTTGGTTCCCCCTGACTATACACAGTCTGGACCCCCTTTCAAACTTTGATTTTGTATCCTTAACCAACTAAAATTGACTTTGGACCTCTCCTGGAAACTGCCGTATTGAAAATGCAGAACTGTGATTTTTAAAATTTTATTGGTATGCTCAAGTTTTTCAAATTAGGAACAGGCTGCAGTAGCCTAGTGGGAGAGCATGCTCTTCGTGATGCCCAGGTTCAATTCAATAAAATGTAGTAGTTAGTGCACTCGGCACTAGAGGCGTTGATAAAGACCCCTCACTGCTCAATGGCCCTGAGTGCCAAGTATAGATCTAAATTTTAAGCCTTTCACTGGCATACAGTGACATCTCCATATGAGTGAAAAATTCTTGCGAGGGAAGTTAAGCAATATACAATCACATTTAGGATAGGGGGTTCATTTTTTTCCTTCTGTTTGGTGCAAAATTTCTAGGTTGGAATTTTTTTTTCCAAAGCATTCAAAAAGTCCCAGAATAAAGCCTGAAAATGGATTTTTTTCATGCAATAAAATTCATTTTATACTTCTCAAAGTGCTTCATGGTTCTTTGAAGATCTCAAAAAAGTTTTCATAACAAGTGCAAAATTTCTGATCCCAGGGATTAAAACTATATATTGAAAGAAAATAATATTTTTTTAAATCTAATCATGAATACCAGTTAAATTAATATGATATGATATAATAAGTGATTTGTGGTATTATGCAATGATTGGAAGGTCTTACTATACTATGCATTGTTAAATGATTGAAGTGAATAGAGAAGAATCCTGTATGTTTTAAAATTATGCAATTGCTTCGAAAGCCTGGATACCTAAGATTTTTAATTCAAAAATGTGTTTGTTATCAAATCTGAATTGAAAGATGCATAGTGGGTGTTTTTATTTGCATTTCCTAAAAATCTGTTTTAGATTTACTATATTTCCCCTTATAATATGATAAACTTTAGAAGTGAATTATCATGGATAAAAAAAATTACATTGGGAATTCAGAGACATTTTTGTTAGCATATCAAATACCCAATGCATGAATTTAAGAACCTGAGCATCGCAGTACCTTTCTTTAATTAAAAATGCCAACTATATAATAGTAATACCAGTAATAACACATTTGAATTGGGAATGAAACATTTCCCCACCACAAAATAATAGACTTGCAATCAAGATTGAGTGCTCAGTATAAATATAACTTCGAACTAATTTACACTTTACAAGCTTTTATCAAAATCATTGTGTTTAAAGAATCTTAAAGAAAGTTAATGAACAAAGGGAAATGTAAGTAATTTTCTTTACAATATTTAAAAGAAGGCATCTTACCTTCATCCACCAATCCATGTCTGGAACTGGAAAGAATGCTTCCAACTTTGTCTTCAAATGTACCAGCTTCCAATCCATGCAGGTGTTTGAAACGTTGATCACTAACATAGAAGTAGTCTGTTGGTACGGCAAGATGCATAATACCATCATCGTCGTTTTCCTGTAATTTATAATCTCATATATTGAACCTTCTACCCAAGATGCATCAGATGACAAAGTTTGATAATCCTAGGCCTAGTAGTATTAAAGTTATGAGCCGGATACGAAAAAGCTAACAGACAGACGGACAGACAGACAGCTAGACAGACGGAGGGACACGAAGCCTATAACATAATACGTCCCGTCTTAAGACAGGCGTATAAAAACTATAAAAACTTATATTGCAACATTTGTTTCAAATTTGTTTTTAGCCATATTTTGACAAGAAAATAACATCCATAATTCAACATATTTAAGATTATTAATACACTAATCTTGATTATTATTTTGTTTCAGACTTATTTACTACAAACTCACATTTAAATTTTATCAAATATTAAATTAATTGCATGTGTAAATATTTTATACATTCACAATGAGACATCTCAACATATTTAAGTTAAATTAGATCAGGATCAAACGATAAACGGTACCTGAAGTCAAAAATTGAAATAACTCCTAAAATAAAGAAAACATACAAATTTTATTTTAAATATATATTCCATATGTTAAACTTAAGTAAAAACATACAAAAAATTGCTTAATTGCAGTAAATTATAAAATATCACTAGCCTACTCTAAAGTACTATACGGTGTTAGCGTACTCTATTTAGTAGGACCGGAAAAACAGTTATTTCCAATTAGTGTATTTCATCATTTTTTATCAAATTGTTAGGTCTGGATGCACTTAATTATCTCGTTTAAAAGTTTTACAAGGCGCACTAAATTATTTTTGTTTCAATTACTTGTTAAGATGTTTCTCTACACAAGGGTCTATGGCAGCATAGTGTACTGTATCTTGTAGTAAATGGGTTGCAAAAATTGACTTGGGAATGGAAATATCATATATATATCATAAAAGTCATATTTACAAAAATCAGATCATGTACATTATATACTTAGAAGAATTAAATGACCATTATCCATCATTTTTAAAAATGATGGATTTCCATCACACCCCTGACTGATTATAGCTTTGCTATTCTTGAGCAGATTTTTAAAGAATTTTCAATATATTTATATATTTTTAAAGAATTTCCAATATATTTCTATGTAGAACTTTGATCGGTCATTTTGGCCTTTCCCTACACCTAAGGGTCATGATTTGAACAAACTTGAATCTACACTACTAGAGGATGCTTCCATATTAATATGACCAATTATGGCTTTGCTATTCTTGAGAAGATTTTTTAAAAAATTTCCTATAAATTTCTATGTAAAATTTTGGTCGGCCATTTTGACCCTGTCCTGCCCCAAGGGGTCATGATTAGAACAAACTTGAATTTTTACTACTTGAGGATATTTCCCAATAAGTTTCATCTTTCATGTCACAGTGGTTCGTGAGAAGAAGAACATATGCCAGCAAATTTTTACTAATTCTCAATTATCTCCCCTTGGAAGAGGGCATGGCCCTTCATTTGAACAAACTTGAATCCCCTTCACTCAAGGATACTTTGTGGCAAATTTTGGTTGAAATTGGCCCAACGGTTCTTGAGAAGAAGTCGAAAATGTTAAAGGTACTTGTACACAGATTTGAAGTCAATATTTTTTCTATAATATTATGACTTATATATTTTAAAAGCATTTCACACAAAAATTAATTAAAAATCTTATTTCATTTAAAAGTTATTAAAACTTCAAATTTTTGGGCGGGTTTGATTGACACACCCTTGCACTTTCACAAATATTAACCTTATTCTTAATCCTTAGGAAAAGTGGCAATTTTATTATGTATTAATGAGAAATATTAAATGTTTTATCCAGAAAAATAGTTTTATTCTGAGTACAAATGTTAAAAAGCAAAACTCCGAACTACAGGTTGAGTACAGAGTTTAGCAAATCGAGCACACTCGTGTGCATTCAATTGTCACAGTGTGCTTACCACAACTGCACAGACTGACAATATATCATGTGTTTGTTTTACTTTTGAACATGTCTACTCTGAATTTTCTGGATTATAGTATTAATATTTTTGCATTTATATGAGATTGCCGATTTTTCTAAGGATTAAGAATAAAATTAATGTTGTGAAAGTGCAAGGATGTGTCAATCAAATAACCAAAAAATTTGAAATTTATTTTTATATCTTTTATATGAAATAAGATTTTTAATTGATTTTTATGTGAAATGCTATTAAAATATGTATGTCGTAATATTATAGAGAAAATAATAACTTCAAATCTGTGTCCAAGTACCTTTAAAAGTTTACAAACAGATGGACAGCTAGAGAGCTAGACAGACAGACGGACGCTGGACAACATGTGATCAGAAAAGCTCACTTGAGCCTTCGGCTCAGGTGAGCTAAAAATGAATACAAAATATTTTCATTTTAAAAAAGCTCTTCTTAAATAGGCACTTATGACATAACCTTGATTTCAGTTCAGTATCAAGGTGTCAGTTTTTAGGTCAATCTTTGTTTTCTTCAAATATACAGTTTTTATCTACATTATCTATAGTTCATTCAATGTATGAAACCAGAATACTAATGTCAACCTCTCTAACTATAAGAAGTAATTTGTGTGTACCCCTGCAAATATTCCAGATTTGTTAGTTGGATGCAAATTATTCATAATACCCCCTCCCTACCCCTTTCTATACAGGTTTGAATATATTTCACTGGAAATTTTTTATTGAACACCCTTGCATTTTCCGTGTCGGGACAGGTCAAATCATGAAACAAACTGAATTTTACCATATGGTTGCCTGAGGTAAAGGTCAACATTACTGGTACATTGACAGTGAAAAATTTTAACTTGTTAGGCCAAAAAAATTTTTTACTTGTTTGGAATTGCCTCCCGCCTACGACGTTTCAAGGTTCTTGGAAGTCTTAGAAAAGGACTTATAATAGTTGACATTAATAAACATATGATAAAAGGCAGAAAAAAATTAATACGGTTTTAGAGAAATAGAGATTTTCTTGAATCCAGCCTTAGATTCCAATGATTATTAGCATGATATGAAATAAGAAGTGATTTGTGGTGTCTAGCAATGATAGCAAAAGCCTTTTACACTAAGTCTTATAGAATACATGACGGAAATACAAGACAAAAATATTCCAAATAAGTATAAAAATCATGACAATTTCTCTGAATACCTGGATACCTATCGTATTTTAACCTAAATATTTGTTGATCAATTTGCAATTAGAAAATACATTGCTGATATTCCTATTCGCTTTTCCTGCAATAATATTGGAGATTTGACAATTTTCCCTATATTATATGATTAAATTTAATCTTGAACTTAAAAAAAACACTGTAGATAAATTTACATATTTTATATGGATTCAGAGCTACTTTTATGAGCATGATGAGTACTTATGATTACTTAACTGCTAATTTTATAAACCTGAGGATCAGACTACCTTAAATGTAATTCATTAGGCCACAACAATAAAATTTATTGTTCGTCGGACCCACTCGCTTGTATTTAAACAAAAGTATACAAATAATATTAATTTGAAATTCTTGCACTATGGGAATTCTGTGCTGTTTTCTCTTCTATTTCCACTTCTTAGTCTGAAAATCAGAAAAATATAATTGTCGGCCTAGAAATTTTGCCCACCAAAAAGTAATATTATTATTATTTAACCACTTACCCGCTCATACTTTTTCCATAAAATATTGGAAGAACAAGAAATTAAATTGGAGTGGCCTTACAAGAGATTTCCAGACAGCAGTTCAACAATAATTGACCTTTAACCAATTGTCTCACTATTTTTTTTTCTATGTTTCAAAACTTTCTAAAATGTTTCATAAAATTGAAGAAAAAATCCAGCACAAATTCTCAAATTTTTACTTAACTCTCAATGATGGCTAGCAGGGAAAAGAAAACAGTCTTAGGGAAGTCCATACTTTTGCGGATCCAGTTTTAATTTTACACCCAATTATAAATTCTGTTTATCATTTGTCTATTGAAATAAAATCTTTTTGGATGATTGAAATAACTTAACAAGTATATATATGTTCATTATTGTGTCATTGACTCATTGTGCACACAAAGCATTTAATTAATATACATTTTTTATGGTAATTAACACATTACACTCCATCCATAGGAACTTTAGTAAACAAAATTTTTAAGTTTAAAAAAAAATTGCAAAGAATTATCAAAATTCTTTTCCCAAAAATGGGTTAAACAGGTTCAAAAAGCTATTTTGTTAAATTTATCTGATAAACCATAATTATGCATGTGTAGATAAAATTCTTGGAAATAGTTACAAAGAAAAAAATGGCATGTCATTAACAGTTTATAATTTATTTGAGAATTAATTATTAAAAACAAAAATTTTGAGATTTTTTTCTGAAAGATGTGAACAGATTTAACATCATATTGTTAATGTTTCATAAAGATTTTAAATATTCCCTTGGCAAGTGTTGAAAATTTTAAAATGTTATGGTAATGATACACAGTTGTCTCAGGTGGAGGACATTGGTGTTTATTACCTGGAGACCCTGAATACTCAAGATGTCAAAAATCTATATATGTGTACCATTACATATATATACACACCAGTACATGGTAAGTCCTTGATAATAAAGATCAGCACATGACACACAGATTTATATTATACTAATAACATGAATAAGCATGGTATCTACAGCTATATATAATAATATAAAAATCATATTTCTCTAACTGTAAAGTTTTGTTTGTTTATTTTTTTTATTTTTACTTCTTTACATTCAGATCTTTTCCAAGAACCCTGAATTATATCAGAATGCCTAAAATCAATTTCAAGCTCCTTGTTGAAACTTTCAAGTTATTAATTAAGGACATACGCAACATACCTTACCTACTGATATCTTTTCAAGATATTCCCAATTTCAGATTATCATGATTATAGTGCCATCGATGTTCATAGACAAAATTCAGCATATTTTACCAGTTTTTTTTCCCTTCAATTTAATGTACAAGGGTTGTCCAAAAAAGTTGTAGACAATGTCTATAACTTGTAAAACATGCAAACAATGCTAACCAAATCTTGCATAGACATAATATATTCAATGTTCTTTAGAATTTTAAAATATATATCTTTCATATTGATAATATTGGGACGATTTATAGGTCTGTCAGCACATGAACTAAATTCGGAATATTTTAAGCATATAACCATGCTAACTATTACATTTACTTTTATTTCATTAGCACTATGTAAAACTTTAATTTTGAACTCAAATTTACATGAGTGATATCAGAATCAAAATCTTAATTAAAAATACTATGTCAACATTTCATATAAATAGCATTAAAACAGACGATTGGTGTCATGAATTTTGAAGTGTTGTTGGAATTGTGTTTGATGAAAATGATGTGGTCAAACGAGTAACCGGCGCACGGATATATGATAAGTTGTTTTGAATATGATTTGTATACATTAGAGACGGGGAAATTAGTACAGAAGTGACAGATCACACTCGATTTTAACTCGATTTTAACAGGGAAGTTATTTTTAAATGACATGAGATTCAATGAGGGTTTTTCTTCTATACTGAAATGTAGTTACAACATGTAAGAAATAGAGTACTGTTTGTTAAAGTATGTAGACAATGGGGAACAATCTGGGCTGGCATCAAACAATGTGTATTTGCTACCTACAATGTATGGCTATATTGTCCTTTCGACTAAAATTTGAATCTGCTTAAAAAAAAAACAACAACAAAAAACCTGACAGTAGTGAATTTAAATTAGTCCCTTAGTCAAGAGTGGTCTTTCACTTAAAAAAAAATTATAGAATGTTTACAGATGCGTGTGACGCAGAAAAAGAGCGCATGACGCTATATGAGACGTATATTACACTTGCTTTCGTGCGCCGATGTACACTTACATGCTTTCTTTATTTTTTCATAATTTCCTTATTATTAAAATGTGATATCATTATGAAACTTGAAATGTATCATCATAATGTTTCTTTTTGTTATGAGGAGAAAAGAATTTCATTCAACAAAGAGAAAATAAGCTGTTATCCCTGTCTACGACTTTTTGGGACAACCCTCGTATAGTTCACTAACAGAATTACCTTGGCTTGTGTAATTTAAATCTTAAGGACAGATGATACAAAAAAATGGATATCTGGATTGGTATATATTTGTTTGGCCTATTAATTTCTTTTACCTTAAACTAAGGAACTGCAGCCATGACATAAAGTAAGACAACACAATGTTAAGTTTGGGCAGACATAACCATGATTTATTTGTTATGCAATGAGGCCTAATTTCAATGAAAATTATGCAAATAATTAATTTCTAGAATATAAAGAAATTGTAAACCTTCTGTGATGTTCAAAAGTCTGTCCTTCTGAAACCATCCTTATTAATCTAAACAAATATTTTTCACTTTAAATTCTATTTTTGAGCAAATATGAATATAAGAAAATTATTCATTTTATTCATTAAAACATGACCCAAGTTGCTATTTTCAAATTCTTTGACACAAGTTTGTTTATATCATCTGTTCTTAAATCATCATGAAGGAGCTAGTTATTCTCTTCCTACCACTGACTAGCAATCTATACAAACTTAATAGCTAAAGAACCTAAAGTTTATCCCACCTTCCCCAACCAAGTTTGGTCATGATTGAACTACATGTATCTTATTTGATTCAACAAATAAATGTATCCTTAAGCAAAAGTAAAAAAATTAACTTACCAATTCTACGAGGAGATGGCCTTCTTTGTTCTCAGCTGTTGTAATGGCAAGGACAGTTCCAGAGTTGTCTTTATGAAAAATAAAATTCATGTTTATAATTAATAGTCGCAAACTAGTTTATCCCTAGTAAATCGTGAAATACAGTCGTCACGAATAAAAGTTGGTTTACAGTATAGTATGGTTTGTACGGTTTGTCGGTTGACCTTAATTTGATCACTATTGACCTTTTTCTTAATCTTGCCAAGGGAAACAACTAATGTAAATCAATGTGGAACATTTAATAGTTAACATGATACTCGATCTAGTTAGATCTTTCTATGATGTTTGAACAATTGTTGTTGACCTAGAATAGGAAAACTTCTTTAACAAAGTAGCTTATCTAAAATAATATTTCCCATATAACACAGAATATAATATAAATAAACAAAAATTTCAATGAAAATCTCTCAGTTTCTTGTGGAGATATGTATATGACTAAAAAAATGAAGAAAAAAAATTGTCCAGATTTACAGTGCATCAAATCAACCATGTTGATGACAAAATGAATCGACATCAATCAAAATAAAAATCATTTTTAAACAATTTTAAACAATTTAGCAAGTCAAAAAATAAGCAATGAAAAAATTTAACAGTTCTTGTAAAGTTTATGAATTATAAGCATTTGTTATCTAAAATTGTAATCCACATGATCCAAGGTGATTTTCTACCCAATATGTCTTCTTTCTTCCTGTAATAAATTTTTATCCGAATAGACAGGATAGAATTAACAAATAGGGTTTATTTTCTTGACAAAAAAAATATTGTTGACAGATTCATGAGAAATGTCTGATCTGGAGGCCTCCAGATAGAAAAATTTGATTTTGCAACTTACATTTTATGATCATGCTACCTCAATGTAAATGTTTTAACCTTTAAGCAAGAAAATGTTTAACATCAGTGTCTTCCCTTTATTTCAAAGTAAAGGGTTAGAGATAAGTTGTAACAGGCTAGGGGCTGAGGTTTATGAACAAAATCTCTGTGGACCTAACAGTTTATTTTTATTTCAAAGCGAACTGAAACAGTTAATTTGGCGGGTAGTCGGTTCTTAGGAAAAAGAGTCTAACATTGGTCCTAACAATAAATTCAATGAGGTTTAACATTTAAAAGCAGTTCAATCTTGTCAGAAGTTTGTTTTATATACTAAGGATACTGACAAAACAATTTATCCTATTAAAATGATGAAATTTACATCATATGCTGTTAAAGACTTAGTACAGTACTTGTAAAAAGTTATATAATATTGATTTTGTGTTTGGATTAGACCTTCTGTGTAGGGAGAAGTTTATTAATATACATGTATTACATGTTCCAATGGCCAAATATCTTCAATCTTTCAAGACATATTTTCTTATCTTCTTTAATTTTAAAAGACTTTAAAAGAGATTTAACCATCTCAGCTAATTTAGGAGTATGTTTCTTAAATGTGCAGTTTACAATTATAGTTGATTTCAGTATAAACAAGAAGTAAAAATTATTATTTATCAAACTTCTCTCAAATTTAATCTCAATTTTCTATCAAATTAGTACAAGAATTGCAAATGATAATCAAGTAATTGTAAATACCTCCAGATTTGAAGATCACTTTCTTCTCTTGGGTGTGTAAAGTCCAGGGAAGCATTGTGGCAGTTAGAATCACACAATTAAAATTGGAGACTTAATGAGACAATAGGGTGGAAACCCCCCACTTTTATACTGCCAAAGGGTTTCAATTTTTTAAGGGATCAATTCTATTGGTGTAAACTGATTTGACCACTATAATTACATGTCTTAAATTGACCAGGATCAAACTAAAAACAACCAATCACAAAAAATGATAAATGATGTTCTTTGATTTGCCTAATTACAATTTTATAAGCTTTTTTAATCATGTTAAATAGTACTAAGCCTATACAAGATTACAGTGATATTGCATAAAAAAAAAATGCACATGACTCTTACACCATTATGTAATGACTTTTATAAAAATATAACGTTAACTAAAAAAAATTAACTTATGAACGATGAAGAAAAAAATTTATTATGTTAAATTCAAAAAAATCAAATTTGCAATTAAGTTAACTGTTACAGTTTTCCTATGGTTGAAATTGTTTTACTTACTTTCATCAATTTACTATAAATCAGATTTTTATATTAAAAGCTACAGCACAGTATCTATAATGAACCACAAGTTTTAATTAAGCTATGTAACTTATAACCCTTGGAGAAAAAGTCTTTTTTAGTTTTATTTCTTCTTTTTCTAACACATTGGACCTAACATTATGGGCTAAAATATGACATTGGGGTATTTTCTAAAATTATAATCATCTAGATCTAGGGCTAATGTAAACTTGTTAAAAATGCCGTATGAGTATGACATTGTATGTAGACCAGACAGAATATTATCATGCACATAAGGTGAATGCATGGGTGAAAGAATTTCAAACATAACTTCAAAATAGCTTACCGAAAATATCAGGAAGAAGATGAGCAGTACGTGTACTTTACACAGCACGCGCAAATAGTCCGAGGATAGTACACAACATCAGCTACTGTACACCATGCGTCAGCTTCAGATGTGACCGACAAAACGGAAGTGTGTATAATAAACATGGCCGCAGGAGCTGCGCTGCGGCTTTGTCTCCCAAGGCCGGGTATCGTACACAGCATCATCGTGTATAACTAAACTCAGCTACTGAATCCAGTTTCGTCCGCAAGTTCAAGCTGAACAGTAGCAGTTTCTGACAGAGTGAACAGTCTTGAAAGATAGAATTGAAGGCGCATCGCTGATATTGGTAAGTAACAAGTTTTTTTTTCCTCTTATCGGGCTAACATTAGGGTGACAGACACAATACTTTAGATGTTGACAAGAAAAAAAAGAGAAAAAAGCACAACCCCCCCCCCCCCCCCCCCCCGAAAAGAAAATATGTGACTTGATTGTAATAATATTGCCATAAATAATGTGTAATAGTTTGGAAGAATGAACAACAGCACAAAGTAATGATGCAAACCAAATCAAGTATGTTCAACTTTGTTTCAACTCAATTCTTTTCCATTTGTAGAGATAGTTTTTATTTAAGAATGATAGAATTCCTTGTTTCTAAACAGAGACCTAAAAATCAGGAAGGTTTTCAAAAATTTCAAGTAGTCTAATGTCTGTCAATTTGTAGACTTAATTATACCCCCCCCCCCCCCACTTAATTTACCCAGAACTTGGATCACTTATTAATAATTATTTAATTATGAGCATTTTCTTCTTTTTTTTCTATTTCCTTATGAAAACATTAAAATTAGTTAAAATGGTCCACAGAGTAGGTAATATTTAGTAATTATGAAAAAATTAAATTGATTCAGACAAAACCTGTAAGGTTTTAAATAGCAATTTATAAAAACTTGGATATGAACTACTTGGTAACATATGCATGCATGATATTATGATTATATCCTTGTAGTATTTTGATCAAGGAATTCTAGCACCATTGTTTGTTTTATTAAAAGAGGGGTGTTTTTGTGTTATTATTATTTTTTTAATTCCCCATTAAATTTCTATTACAGAGGACAATATTGTACAACATAAAATTATTAAATACATCATTTAATATTAAAGACGGTCAAAAATTGAACAGTCAGAAAGACTAGGGTTAATAATAATACAAAATACAAGCTACATAACATTATTTACAGTGACACAATAAAACACTCGATACATGACTTCAATCATACTTCATTATGGAATTGTTAACAGAATCTTTTATTTCTTGAGAGTTGAGATATGGTTGATTTTTTTGTTTGCTTGGTTTTTTTTTGGAGGGGGAGGGGGGGGGGGGGGGGTTCTAGGTCATTCTGCTTTTTATTCAAGTTTTGTGAGGATAGTCATATTTATTATGAACTACATTTTTATTCAGCTTTGATATATAAGTGTTTGTAAGTATAAATTTGAATCATGTACATTGTATGTTGCAGTATGTAAGTTTTGTATAAACATGATATGATGTAATTAAATAATTTATAATTTAGTCTGACATCTCAAGAATACTATAAGTTGACATCTAAATTACATGTAATAATATGGAATAGTCTATAGAAAATTCATGTATTAAATAAGTGTCCAAATTAGCAGTCCTTAGAAAATATTATCTGATGCAAAAGATTCAAACATTAATTGAGATTTCGTCCAACAGAAAGACTGGTTTATAAGGATGATGCATCCTGTTTGTTCTCATGACTTAAAACTTTTTCTTCATGTATTTTTTTCAGTGATATTTTTTACAGTGTCTAAAATATAAACATAGCTTAATTTATATATCCCCCCACAACAAAAATGAAGGGGTGGGGTTTTATTTCTTCATGTTCTTTGCATAATTATTATTTGACCCTTTCTGATTCACATAATGTAATTTCTGGCTTTCAGTGTTTTTAACACACAAGAATTTTTTTTTTTTTTACAAAGCATTTAAGCAATTTGAGCTGTACATTTGAAAATTTTTAACATGTATAATTTTACATTTCATTTTGATAGTATTATAAAAAGGAAACATTTACATGAACATGTGGTATAAATAAAAAATTTAATGAATGTTCTATTGGAAAAAAAAATCATTACATTTAAAATAAGTAATTTAAAAAAAAAAGAACCCAAAACACCCCCCCCCCCCCCAAAAAAAAGCATGTAAAGCAAATCTTTCTGAGACTCTATATAAATTCTAGCTTTAAAAGTCTTAAAGAAATCTGAGCTGCAATTTTGATGTCATAATTATATATTCATAGCAGAATCATAAATAACTATTTCAACAACAGAAAAAATTAATATTATATAAATTCTGTTCTTTCTGGTTTGGTTTGAACATATTTTATTGCACAAAATATATACAATGGGATTGGGCACAAGTTCTAAAAACTTAAATCGCCCTCTCCCTACATGAGATATTATAACATGATGTATTAGAAGTGTTCAACAGTTTGTACAAAATTTATAACAAGTAAATTAAATAAACTCTCATTGTGGACATATATAGACTGCTACATTATTGTGTATACAAATAGTTTTAAAAATTGTGTACAACCAGTTAAATCTACCAGAATGCTGAATATAAGAATGTACAATAGAAAATAGATATTCATTTTCAGCAATACTGAGTGATGTATCCCCCCAAAGTAAAGTCTGAATGTCAACAATATGGACTTTATTAAATCTCAAAAACTTATCGAAAAACTCTTTCCTGGCCTCGTTGTAGTTAGGGCACGAGAAAAAATAATGATGCGTATTTTCTACCTTACCGCAGGAACATAGTGGACTAGATATTATATTACATCTATAAAGATCAGCGTTTAGCACGCAATTGTGTCTTTCTAACTATTCATGACCTTCAAATGGATCAAAATCACATTATTGTTGTCCTGTTAATAATGTTTCTTATATAAAACTGTGCTTTGGGTTGTATATAGAAGACTTTCTGTTGCTTTACTTTAGTCTAATTGATCATAAAGGTTTATATAGTTACATAAAAAAAATATTATAATATTTTAACAGCAAAACAGGTGAATCTTGTAAAGAAGACTATAATTGTTGTAAAAACACATCTCATACCAGTAACCTATTGTTCTAGTATCAAAAGTGTGCAAATTGGGGGCACACAGAACAGTAGTTAAGGGATAAGTTTTGACAGATGACAACAAACACATTATTGACATAGCATTATGGCTTCATGTACTACTAAGTAAATACAAGGGGGTGTCTTCTACCTATTCCCACTTTTTAAAATTTCAATTCCACCTAATTCCACTTACAAATACATGTAACAATAAATGTTTGTTAATCAGTTTAATTATCTTGGTATGTTGTTTAATTATAATGGAAACTTGACTTTGTATTTTGTATATAATGTTGTAAATATGTTCCTATACCTCATATACCATTGTATGGTCTGAGTGTAAATAAACAAACAAAATTTTATTGAAACACAGAAACATTTTTCATGTTAATTAAGGTAAAAAAACTATGGTGTAAATAGTAAAATCAAGGATTTGCATTTTAACGTAGAAACACAATTAAATTATTGTAAAAGAACCGTAAAGGTCAGACAAAGCACCAGTAATGATGCAGTTTATTGTGAATCAGGTAAATTTCCACTTATACTTGAAAGGAAAAAGAAAATTTTGAAATACTGGGTGAAATTAAAAAACAGTGAAAGTTGTATATTGCATGTTAAGCATGTTATCAAGATATGGTTGAAAATAATGATGAATGGATTGAAAACATTAAGAAGGAATTCCAAAGGCTTGGTTTAGCTGACATGTATGATAGTGATTGTATTGATAATAATACTCTGAATATTATATTTCAAATAATGTATGACTGTTATAAACATGAAATTATGGCAAGAATTTGTAATTTTCCTTAATATTTTCCGTTTCAACATTTAGTGGATAATTTTGCACTACAGACTTATTTAAGAAAACCATTACATTCTAAGTATAGAATTCCTATCTGTCGTTAGAGGCTATCAGCTCATGACTTAAGAATAGAAAGGGGAAGGTATAGTAATATAGAATGAAAAGATAGAAATATATATGTCAGGTGAGATAGAAAACAAATTTCATTTTGTATTAAATTGTCCTCGATACGAAGAACTTAGAATTAAATATATTAAGATTTATTTTTTAAAAACCATCAGTATTTAAATTAGTACAGTTACTGAGTTCTACAAATACTAAAGAACTATGTAATGTGGGCAAATATTTGTATTTTTTTAATCAATTAAGACATGATGTTCTAAATAATAATTAAATGATATCGTTATGTAATTAACATATACATTTTATAGCCTGTACAAATCTTATGTATGATAAATATTGTATGCATATGAGATGTAATGTCTCCGGTACAAGTAAAATACCAATGTTTAGATAGTTAATTTGTTTTTAAAGTAATTAGACTAATTACTCCCATCTTAGATTTTCCTGTAATTTGTATATTTTAAGACAGAAAATAAGGAATCAAGTTTTCAAAAAAAAAATGAATTAATTCATTCAAAAATATGGAGTTGCGAAAATAACCACAAAAAAAAAAATTTAAAGCAATATATTAAGCACTTTTAAATCTTGAATCTAGAACATAAAATAAATAGATTTATCAGGGAAAAGGGATTGAAATAGCTGGATTTAAGAATGAATAGAATAAAAGGAAAAATAATTTAATTCACTTATTTTTCTTTCAAATATAGATAGAGTCTGATTTTTAATTCTGAAAAGAAAATATAGCTGTTCTCTATTCCATCAGTATAATTAATAATATTTGTTGATCATTTTTTTCATAGTAATATATGTTTTCATAGTTAATTATTTGTTACACAAAAAATTCCACCTATTCCCACATAAAATTTTACCTTTTTCTATCTCACAGTAAATTGCATCCTTTAAAATTTAGCAGTTAGGCCATCCTTAAAAAATTGTTATGTCCCCCTTCGAAGAAGGGAGGGCATATTGCTTTGCTGTAATCTGTCGGTCGGTCCATTAGTTTCCGTTCCTTTTCTTCATAACCGTTGCACATACTGAATTGAAATTTGGTATACAGGTATATTAGATGAATATCTAGATCAAGTTCTGTTTTGGGTAGGATTGCACCATAATTGACAGAGTTATGCCCCTTTGACTTAGAAAAATTCCAATTGTTTGCAGTTTCCGATCATTTTCTTTGAAGAGGTTGCACATATTAAAATGGAATTTAGTATACAGATTAGTCAGATGAATATCTGGGTCTAGATCTGTTTTGGGTACAATCGCACCATTATTGACAGAGTTATGCCCCTTGGACTTAGAAAAATTCCAGTTATTTGCAGTTCTATTCATTTTCTTTGGAGAGGTTGCACATATTGAAATGCAATGTAGTATACAAATTAGTCAGAGGAATATCTAGGTCAAGTTATGTTTTGGGTATGATCACACCATTTTTGACAGAGTTATGCCCTTTTGGACTTAAAAAAAATTCCAATTTGTTGGGGAGGGGGGCATAAGTGTTTTACAAACATCTCTTGTTTGTTTGGAATTGCCGCCTGAAGGGTTTCAGACACAGGAGGGAGGGAAATTATTTTATTTTTTTAAACTGAAGAAAAATTCAAATTTTTGATAAAAATCTTAGTAAAAAGTAAATACATTTTCTGACTTTTAAGAAAAGTATCTACCATCAACAAAAATCCTAATTTTACATAGATCTGACACTATCTTTTGGTGTTTTGTATGGTGCATATGATACATGAATAATGGGAAAAAATTGATTAAATAAAAAAATTCTTTGTACTCTTGCCAGTCTTGGTCAGTAAAATTTTTTCAGGAGTGGGCATTTCAATGAGGCGGGAGGCAATTCCAAACAAACTATTATAATTTTATTTTGGCCTTATGTGCATATAGTGGTAATGAAAATTTTGAAAATGTAGCGGTAATGATAGTTCAGATACACACCCATTTTAAAGCCTTTATTGGTCATATACCAGGAACATATGGAAGCATCCTTTTTAGTTAGTGCTGATTCAACTTCAAATGATCATCTACATCTAACCGTTATGTCCCGTTGTAGATGAAATTAATTTTTCAATACTGAACTTAATTTTGCTTTGTGGCCTATGGGTCTCTCTCTCTCTCTTTCACTCTCTGGTTCAAATACATGTACCTATACAACATCTCAATGGTAATTTGTTAATCTGCAGATTATTAATCATGGCGCAGCATGCAGTGCTAAACCTGGAGCAGTTTTCTGACTTGGGAAAAAGACGTGCACTTATGACAGACGTTGCCAATTTGAATCACAGGACTCAGAATGTCGGAGCCAAGAAGACATTTGAGATTGCCAGATTAGGTAAGTGTATATTCCTTAATTTCAGAAAAAAATAATATTTTAATTTACAC